TCTCTGTAAGTCGCGGGTTCGATCCCAAGCTTGTACGTAACAGACATGATTTCCTGCCTAACCCTTTGTTTTTTGTCAGGGTCTCTGCACGTGCACGTTGTATCATAAGGTCTGTCATTGAGTCAACTGGCATGAACATGACAAGGAGTAGGGTCGTCTGTCCAACCTTGTGGGTTTTCTCCGGGTACTCCAGTTTCCTTAAACTACTAAATACCCTACGTGCAAATGAATCATGGAAATAAAATTGAACCATATGTTAGTCCCGAAATAACCCTCTCTCTCTCTCTCTCTTTGTGTATTATGTATATTTATTTTATTTTAAATGTTCAGTGTTGTGTTTGTAGTTGGATTTATCATCAATTAATGGCGTACCAGAAGAACATGTAAAGACACGATTGGTTCGTATATTTGTACCCACACGGAATGCCATGCAATCAGGATCCTATGGAACTAGAAACTGGAGAATTGAATTTGATCAGCGTGAAAGATGGGAAAATCCCTTGATGGGCTGGACATCCAGGTAAGAATTTTGTTTATTAAATTTGTTCAATGCGTATTTCTTCAATTTTGGAGGCAGACCATGAAAAAAAAAACAATCATGCAGCCCCCATTTTATCCCTTTTTCTTTTAAATTTATCTGTCTAGAATCAAAAAATTGAATTTATATTTACATTTGCTACCAGTTTTTGGTGAATATTTCATTGACTTGGTTTATATGTATGCTGCATATAACAAGCCTGGACATAGGTACCTGTCTCAGACTTTGTCCAGTACAAATTCTTTGTGTGATAATTTGTGTCGTGACAATTTCTGTGATAGGTTCTGTCTGTCTAGACTTGGGTCTATAGCTAATCTGTATGTCTCCAGATTACCTGGGCAACTGCCATCAGTGGTAAAGTAGGAAAAGGTTAGATAAATAAAAGCTTAAATAATGTTTGGTGGTCTGCATCCTTTAAAATTAAATGTAGTTGTCTCTCTTGAATTATATATTCTGATGTGTTTCACTTAATGTGATGGCTGAGTGGTCTAAAGTCTGTTACCTGTGTAAGTCATGGGTTCAATCCAATGCTTGTACATGACAGACAGGATCGCTTGTCTATTCCTTTGTTTTTTCGTCAGGATCTCCTATCATGTCTCTCATAAAATTTGAATTTCAAATTGTAAAAGTCAAAATTTTCTCTCAGTGAAATAAGACCTTGTCACTGAAGAATTTACAGGCTCATATTTTTTAAGTCTGAGACTGCATTGCAGTATACATAAACCGGTGGTCTAATTACTATGGCTCATCGACTAAATCTAATGTTAAGGGCCATTGCAGATTTCATCAAGGTCGCTTGATGTAAATAGGGTTAGGGCATGTGATTGTTTACGAGGTTGTGGATTAGGTCTACGGGTAGGGTTAGTGCTATGACCTTTGACCAACTCTGCAGTGGACCTTAACTTTCAGAACTAACCATATATATATATATATAATTTATCAATCAATTTATGTTTAGCCATGTTTTTTAAATATATATTTCAGTGCTGATCCTTTATCAACAGTCAATGTAGATTTTGTAAATTTAGAAGATGCTGAAGCATTTTGTATAAAAAATGGTAAAAATATTTTTTTCAGTTTTATCTTCAGTAGATGTTTATTTATAAAATTTTAAAATAAAGCGACTGTATAGTGTGATAGCTGGTTATGGGCAGACATGTTAATGCCACCTCAAAAACAGTTCAGGGGCTGTATTGAGTATCAAACTTACATTTTGTAAATCTTCACATTATCAAGTAATAAGTATGCAGACATGCCATACAGTGTTATGGGGCTGTTTGTCTGAAAGGGGGAATTGGGTGGCATAATGGTTTAAAACGTGTGCATTAGATCACAAGGTCTGTCATTGAGTCAAATTATGTGGCTTCGATTCCCCATTTGTACGTGACCAGGAGTAGGGTTGCCTGTCCAACCTCATGGGTTTTCTCCGATTTCTTCTCACGGCTAAAAAACCCTATGCCCCATCGAAATGCATGTATTGAAATAAAATTGAACTGTGTGTCAGTCCCGAAACGACCTAGCAGACATTTAACTCCATTTCTCTCTCACTGTCTGCCTGAAGTTGGGGGATTACAGTCCCAGATTGATTAATTTTGTTGGTTTGTTTTTCAGGTTGGCAATATTTTGTAGAGAAACAAAAAGTACCAACATTTAAAAAGAAAAATTATGGTGATAATTATTCCTGGAATAAAAGAACGCGAAAATCAACCAAGTAAACAAGACACCCATTTATAGATAATTATTATATTGTTTGAGTGAACTAAACTTGTATGAGTGCCACAGGAATACTGTTCTGTACATAAAAAAGGTATCCTGTTATTCATTTAAAGCTTGTGAAATTTATTAATCACTGGAATAAAAAAAAAAAATTATGGAAAATGAAAGTATTATATATGATGGATTTATTTTATCAGAAAAGAAAATCGTTCCAGAATTATATTTTGGGGAAAGTGACCCTATTTTTCTGAAAGATCAGTACAAATTTAAGTTTCAGTAGTAAATCAAGGTACGGTTTGAAACCAGCTGCAAATAGGCATTTATTTATTTAATTAAAAACAGGTGGTCAATAACATAAATTTTTTATTAGAGATAATATAAACCATTAATAAAATGCTGCTAAAAGTTAACCCGGTCTATAGAAATATGGATTAATATTGTTATGCATGTCTACCAGGCCTCAAAGAAATTATTGATGTTTACATAAGACATGTATGTAGTTACAATGACAAAAATAAATTAGAATTGTTTCTTTGTATTATCTATAAATTCCACTATAAGTCTCTCCATTTTAAGATTCGGTGGGTTGTGTTGTTATGTAAGCAAGTCATGGTTTCAGTCCAGTTCGTAAATGACAGGGTGTTCTTTTATCAAACGTATGAATTTTGACAGTTTAAAATTGTCATAAGGCCTTTTTTGGATATGAAGCTTGAGCTTGTATGTTACAAGGAGTAGGGTCTTTTGTTTAACTGCCTGGTTTTCCTCTGAGTCTTCTACTTTTCTCCACACTTCAAATGGCCCCTGGCATAGAATGTTGTTAGTCCTTTATAATCCTAGCTAATTCTGCAGCACCTTAATCACTGTGCAAAGGTGACTCCCTCCTTTGAATTTGGGAAATGAAATGAAATGGGGTTTAATGTCCTACTGTTCTGCTCCGACTGGGCTAATGAAGACGGGCATATGCCATGCAGTGTGCTATAAAGGAAATTTTGCCCAGGGAGCGGCACTATGGCCTTCTCTTATATCGAATCCCAACTGCCAAGGTTGGAATTGGGACAACAGAACAGATTCTAGAACTTTTAGCAGGTGTTCTATATGCCCCTGCCTTTTTATGGAAGGCAAGTCAGAACATAAGTAAACACTGTCAATTTCCAGAGAAGGGTTTTGAGAATTTTCACTGTTTCACAGAGAAGTAGTACCTTAAACCCCATTTCTGTTCATGTCTTCTAGTATCAGTATATTGAAATACCAATCTGAATTTTAACCGTGGTCTGAACCCACCTGCTTTAATTACAATAAGAGTTATGCCCCTTTATTTTCGGTAAAAATGTCCGACTGGAAACATTTTGAAATCCCACCACTGACCACAATTCTTTTCTTTTAAAAAAAAGAAAGAAACATGTGGGTTTTACTTCCTCATAACATTGTTACAGAGCTGAAGAAAACAACAAAATATAACATGACTGTGTTAGTCGTGAAATGATCTAGCTGTGATGGTTAAACAACATTCTCAATTCACTAAGCTCACTTAATAGTTTTCACCCATGTAGTGTATATGATTTCAGATGGGGTTTATTGCCCTACTTTTCTGCAGCGATTGGGCTACGCTATACAGTGTGCTATGAGGGAAATTGTGTATGGACAGCGGCTCCTACGGCCTACACTTATTTAGAATTCTAATTGTCAAGGGTTCCTCTACGTGCTCGCCAATGTGTACACGTGACCTCGGGTTTTTCGTCGCATCCTAACGACTAGACATTGTCTTTGCCAGGCTGACAAGGAGAACTTTCTCGGAAGCGAACCCGGAACCTGGTTAGCGAGCCATCGACTTACCCAGTGAGCTACCGCGGCTCCTGATTGCAACAGGGCTTATTTTAACGTGCCTACAGCCACGAACTTGCCTCTGGATAAAAAAATCCGTGCTTTGAAAATCTAAAATCCGTACTTTGAAAAAATGCTATGTAGCCTTGTGAATCTGACAAGCTTGTATGCGGAAACTTAGCTGTATCATTATGATAATCGACCACTTTCGATTTCTATTTCAAGAGTTTTATAATGTTGACGTACTGCTAAAGCACGACAATTACATAGCAGAACATCGTCAGGTACAGGTGACAGTGAAGATTCGGTTGCCTTTGGATCGAACTGGGATGTTTATACTGACACGCGGTTATAAATATAAATATGTTAATTCTGTTATATTTTGGTTATATCGTGTTATCGAAAATCAAATTCTGGAAATTTTCACGGAATAACACTGGAAACCGTGCTTAGCCAATAAAACCTTAAAATAAGCCCTGGATTGCAGACATAGACGCAGGTCAACTCTCTTTAAACAAACGATTAGTAGATGCAATTAAAATGAACGTATTAAAGTCTAGTGTTTAATTTGACCAGCAATCAATTTCCGTCATATTAAAACTAAATAAGCGATTGAGGAAATATAGAAAGTTGAAAATGCTGTTTTGTTTCCGTCACCAGATATTTTTTTCCCTAGTACACGTACATTGTTTTTTCTTCAAATTTACAAAATGAATAATAGTGTACAAATAAAAGATGATATGAACGTCATGGCTAGATTATGTTTCCTTTAATTTTATTAAATTGATAGTAGTTTAAAAATTAATTCATATTCTTTATTTTGAAACACAATATAAACCACATAGACAGATTAAATATTTTCTTTTAGTGGATGTATTGAAATCAATCTATTCACGAAAGTCTTATTATTAACAGGTGGTTATCTCTATATCTAACAAGAAATGTTTACACGTTAAAAACCTTAAATAAGATATATTTACAAGCTGGTCTGATTCAAGTCACGTTGTAATCACATCTAAGTTAAACATCATGAAAGTCGCTGTATTCGCTGTCGTCATCTGTGCGATGGTTGCAGTAAATGGTAAGTCTTTGTGTACTGGTTTTCTTGGCTCTACCGTTCACAAACAAGCGGGGTTTGTATGGCAATAACAAATGAAATGGGGCTTAACGTCCTACTGTTCTGCTCCCACTGGAGTAATGGACAGTGCATACGCCATGCAGTGTGTTGCTATGAGGGAAATTCTGGCCGGGCAGCGGCACTATGGACCACTTTTATATCGAATTCGAACTGCCAAAGGACCTTTAACGTGAACGTCAATGTATACACGGACCTCGGTTTTTCGTCCCATCCGAACAACTAGACATCTGTCCTTGTCAGACCCTCTGTCCTGTACCACTATGGATAAACCATTTTTAAAGGAATATGAAACCGCGACGACCCTTAATCAACAGGGTTCACTATTTGGCAGTGTGAAGTTGAATCGTTTTTCGTTATTCATCAATAACGAGGTGGTACGAGGGATACGCCACTTCGTTATTCAACTTGTTATTCGGGATTCAAATATACAGTTAGTCATTACTAGAATGATGGATGCCAAGTAACACAAGCAGCATAAAACACAGTAAAACGACCTCTGGACGAAAAACAATTCACAAGCAGCGAATAACGAGCTGTTTTTCATCTTGGGATTCACATATGAAGGTGTTCAGTTATCTTTAATGAGGCTATTTCAGGATTTATTTCAAAACAATCACTAGATAACAATAAAATAAACCAAATTACGAACAATCCAAACCATTAGACAAAATTCGAAGTCCTAAAAAAAAAACGGTATAGGCAAAATAGTGTAATAAGGCAAAATAGTGTAATCAGCATATGGACTGTTCACCGTGTACAAAATACACGACAAACAGTGGTAATAGGTGTCCGGAAGAGTAAGCTTACCCTGCCTGGCGCCACACCCACCATAGCTGCATCCAAACTATTAGGCGAAATCTCGGTAAAATAGCGTGATTGGCCAATGGACTATCGGTATGCAAAATGCACGTGATGAGCAACGTTAACGATGTAGTAGACAGACATTATCAGGTAGATCGTATACGCGTCAATTAAATATATCTAGAATAATAGCCGAGAGAGACATGTTATATTTACCAATCAAGTCAATATGACGCCCATAAAACTTTTTAAAGGTTTTAATAAGTTTAGTTCGCAAGTATCCGTGTAGTTGAAGCTTAGATGACAAATGCCTCGATCTACTTAAAATAGAATTCGCCGCTTGAATAACAATCTGGTTTATTTACTGACTATGCGTTATTTAATCAGTTTTCTACTGCCAGGGGATACTTTGCAATCCATTATATTATTGTTGTCTAGTGATTGTTTTGAATTGAATCCTGAAATATCTTCATTAAAGATACCTGAACAGCTCCATATGTGAATCCCGAAAAACGAGGTGAAAAACGGAAAACAAACAGCTCGTTATTCGCTGCTGAATAACAATGGGGACTGTTTTTCGTCTAGAAGTCGTTTAGCTGTGTTTTATACTACTGGGGGATACTTGGCATCCATCATTCTGGTGATGGTTAGCTTCATGCTTAAATCCCAAGTAACAAGTTGAATATCGAATAACGAGGTAGCGTATCCCTCGTTATTCGCGAATAATTAGGTGCCCACCTCGTTATTCGTTATTGGTGAATAACGAAAACGGATTCAACTTCACACTGCCTCACTATTTACCACCCGGTGACAACACAACGATAGGTTACTGGTTCTGTCTTTCTGTTGTTGGTTATTGTATGTAGGTGACTGTCGACAATACAGCCACCAAAACGGTTAAGTCTATTTGATAAGTTTGAGCAAAGGTCACGAGTTGTAAACATGGCCCTTATTCACGAAAACTTAAACTAAGATAAAATCGAAATTTTAAGAAAAACTGCAACTTCATTGGATATATACAAATTGATTTTACTGGTCAGCCAATCGAATTGCAGTATTTCTTAAAATTTCGATTTTATCTTAGTTTAAGTTTTCGTGAATAAGGGCCCAGGTCTAGCGCTAATGTCAACCCTCACCCTGGACGTAGCCTTAATACTTACCCTAACCGTAGCCTACAATCTCGCCAACAATCACATGCCCTAACCTTATTACATCTCAGTGACCTTGACGAAAACTGAGCTGGCCTTAACTAATAGATTTAGCCTGCCAAAACGACGAGATAAAGAATCGGACATTTACGATTAGTGAACATTGTTAATATTAATAACTGACGTATAGAACACGGATAACGTCTTGTACCACCCACGGTTTCTATTCCACGCTTTTCGAGTTACCCACTTACGTCCAATAATATTGACTTTTAAGAAAACTGCCAATTTTCTCGTTCTGAAAATGATGAAATCTTGATCCATAAGATTGATAAGATCAATGATCATTCATAATCAAATCTTGATCCATAAGATCAATGGTGATTCATGATCAAATTATAATTGCAGGAGCACCAAGCAAACGATTTCTAGAGAATATCGACCTTAAGAATATCGACCTCAGTAAGTATCACTTGTTTTCTGTGCCATTAAATATATCCTCCAGCCAGTTGCTTAGATTAATTAGGGATTATTTAACACCTTTTATAATGAACCCCAGGAATAATAAAATGGGAATATCAATAATAAGTTTAGAATAGTCAAATGATCTAGGTATATTTCCTTTAACTTCCATGGCTAATTTTACCCCAATCCTTTACGACAAACACGATGAGGAGGTATATAGTATAACTTTATGGTATAAAAACCTTATTCCAATGGCACCAATGTTTCATACTGCGATTTGATAAATTGAACCTATTATGATTCACGAGACAGTAACTCCCCCTTTCCCTCTTAGGGAGAACATTGTCCTGTAGAGCCCCGTTCTTTATTAGCCCAATGTTTAGGCTTCAGGTGACAACGATGTAAACCTTGGTCTGAATTTAGTTGTTACAAATAGCAAAATCTGGTGGAGTTAGACAGTCCCTGGGAAGGTCTTTGCTTTAATTTCAGGAACGTGATATTATTCCACATTCCAGTTTCAGACGTGGAGAGAAACATATCCCTGGGAATTATAAAGTCATGAGTGTGGATTAATACTTTATTTACTTTAAAACAACTTCAATTTATTCCTTATTTAGACAAGGTAAAGGCCATAGTGTGGGTTACAGTGAAACACGAAATTACGGCGGTAACATTGGACAATCTTTGGTCAAGAATCGGCCGACTTAGCTAATGAAGACGGGCATGCGCCATACAGTGTGCTATAAGGGAAATTGTGCCCGGACAGCGGCGCTACGGCCTACTCTCATAATATCGAATTCCAACTGTCAAGGGATCTTTTACGTGCACGCCAATGTGTACACGAGACCTCGGTTTTTCGTCTCATCCGAACGACTAAACTGCTGTCCTTGTCAGGCCCTCCCGTCCTGCACCACTGACAAGGAGAAACCACGCCGGAAAATCCCCATGAACTATCTCGTCCAATAATGGGAGCCAACCCGCGACCCCAGGCTAGTGATACTTGTCTTGACTTCAGGTCATCGAGATGATTAATTACATGCATGTATATTTCTTCAGTCAATTATTATAATTATTGGTGGCTTTAAATTATGTACATCGCAATAAAATAAAACCAAGTACGAACAATCCAAACCATAAAACAGAATTCGAAGTCCTAAAAAACGTTATAGGCAAAATAGTGTATTCAAGCAAAATAGTGTAATTAGCAAATGGACTGCTCCTCGTGTACAAAATACACGACAAACAGTGGCTACAGGTGTCCGGAAGAGTAAGCTTACCCTGCCTGGCGCCACACCCGCCATAGCTGCATCCAAACTATTAGGCGAAATCTCGGTAAAATAGCGTGATTGGCCAATGAACTATCGGTATGCAAAATAGTGTATTCAAGCAAAATAGTGTAATTAGCAAATGGACTGCTCCTCGTGTACAAAATACACGACAAACAGTGGCAACAGGTGTCCGGAAGAGTAAGCTTACCCTGCCTGGCGCCACACCCGCCATAGCTGCATCCAAACTATTAGGCGAAATCTCGGTAAAATAGCGTGATTGGCCAATGAACTATCGGTATGCAAAATGCACGCGATGAACTGTGTTAACGATGTAGTAGACATTATCAGGGAGATAGTAATAGTATACGTGTCAATTAAATATATCTAGAATAATAGCCGAGAGAGACACGTTATATTTACCAATCAAATCATGTGTTTTGTCAGCCCGTGTGTGACATCAAGCTGTCTCGGTCATCCCGGTGCTATTTGCAGGTAATTGACTTAATAATAAATTTTTAACTTTGCAGATCTTCTTTGCCAAACTCACGCGATGTGCTTCATTAATCCATGTGCGGTACATAAATGTCCCGGTCATCCAGGTGCTACCTGCAGGTAGGGCTATAATCTGTATATCAATGGTATGGCTATCACTATAAAAGACTGCCGAATTAGCGTTGAATACCCTCAAAGGCACCTTCTTTTAAAATAAAAGACACAGTACTTTTTTATCCGGGTACCGCTTGGCATATATGGCTAATTTTATTGTTAGGTGATCAGCTTGAATCGAAGAATATATGAATGTATCCGAATTCCTTCTAATCGAAAAGGTGGGGTTGGGAGACCAAATGGTTATAGCGTGCGCGTCGGATCAGAAGGTCTGTCATTGAGTCGGTTGAAGTGGTTTCGTTTCCCCACTTGTACACGTGACAAGGACTAAAGTCACCTGTTCAACATTGTGGGTTTTCTCCAGGTCCTACGCCCCGCCCCACCCTACTGCTAAAGACCACTACGCGCAAGCGAATTATTGAAATAAAAAAGAACTATATGTTATTCCGAAAATGACCTAGTTTGTGTCGCCCCCCCCCACTCTCTCTCTCTCATCAAAAACTATATAGGGATAATTTTATTTCTTTAACTAAATGATATTGTTCTTATTACAGACAAGGCTGTGTTTGTTCTGCTGTATGGACTGATGCTTCTGGTAATAGAATCATCGGCTGTTAAACCGCCTGTCATACTTTATGTATCGATAACTAATAACATTTTAAAATGTTATATATTTGTGTATGAAATAAAACTAAATGCGACATTAATCATGTGTTTGTCAGCTGTTGGGTTGATGAGACTAAGAATTCAACCGTGTCCTCATTTGCCCAGGAGAATGTGTTGGTTGATGATAATCACTAGTCGGCAGGAATGTTCCAGTAGGATCTGGTAGTCACACAGCACATAAATATTCTACCCACTCACTTTCATTTAGAAACAATGGACTGGGCGCCCTTTCAATCTCCTTGGTAACATCATTTATAGCTTCATAATTATATCCTGTTTATTTAAAATTATCCAAAGTTCGGTGGTACCTTAGCTACGAAATACACACTTTCAGTTTCCGGATATAATTGGCCATACATCACGAAATTCCGATCTACAAAACACTGACGATACAGTTGCTACGGATGTATGTGATATCGTAAGTCACATATGCTGCTTACCACTTATATCCATTATGCTGAATATGGCGCCCTTTGCGTACATTTGATACTATCAGAGATTATGATTAATCTGTTCATCGGTTTTATACTTGGGGTTAACTGCATCCAAACAAGAAGGACCTGGTTGTCATCAGTACTCCCACTATACTACTATGGTTATAACTACCGACACCCCTTTCCTAGCACAAAATCGGGGATGGAGGACGGAGTTCTGAAGGCCAAGGTGTGGGCGGTTAGAGTTTACATATCAGGATAAATAACTTATAAGTTGAGTTTTATTACTGCTGACAAATTTATTAAAACAAGCTGTTTAAACTTGTACATATCATGTTCATCTTTGATACCGGTACTCAAATACTGTGCATAATTGAAGTTTATGTAAGGTTCATCTTAAATACTCAAATACTAGTGACTTCTGGATAGGTATTACTTAGATTAGATTTTTACCACATGCATATCTGTGAATCAATGAGCTAGAGCAGTCCTTCCCAACCTTTTTTGCCAACAGCACACCTTGGAACATATGACAAAATAGCGGCACACCTGGCTAAATGTATATGATAAATATCTGAATTTTGCAAAATAAAAACATGGCATATACGGCATGGAACCGTAGACACAGACTAGTCATAGACACATAGAAAGACTCAAACTAAATAAAGAAATTACCAGTAGACACCAGTGAATACACAATTGGGATCACACAGTTTTTCGCATTTTCTTAATGTTCCGTTCAAAATTTTGCGGCACACTTAGGAAGATCTCTTGGCACACATTTGTGCCGCGGCACATTGGTTGAGAATCACTGAGCTAGAGAGAGAGAGGGGTGAATTTAACGTCCACTCGTCACAAACTAGGTCATTTCGGGACTAACATATGGTTCAATTTTATTCCAATAATACGCTGGCGCGTAGAGGTCTTTAGCAGTGGGAGAAAACCGGAGGGCCTAGAGAAAATCCACGGGATGGGCAGGCTCCTTGTCACGTACAACCGAGGAATCGAAACCACGCCAGTTGACTCAATGACAGACCTTATGATACAACGCGCGCTAACCATTCGGCCATATAACCACCCCTGTGAATCGACCATTCCACCATAAATTTTACAGACGTCGTGATTAACAACAGACGTATGTAGCTGTTAGGACGAAGTAACTGCAACCAATGCTCGGGGTCTAAAATAAGATACGTTTACCGTTGATATTGTCACATCATAAATGGATTATGAGCCCGACAGAAACTTATTGATGTCACCGGACCGAAGAAATATCTGTACCTTTAGTCGGCCGGCATAAAAGTAAAAACAGTAAATACTAAGTTTCAACCATTAATCTGATACAGCAACAGGCCCAGACAGTTCACCGATGCATACTAGTTAAAACAGTTATATTTAATGCATAATGTCACCGTGAAAACTCTAACTTAATCACGCCAAAAAATTATACCGCTCCTCCATTTTAGCCCGGGAAAACGTTGTACGCTGGAGTAATCCTTAATATACTAGAGCTTACCAAAATAATGTAGTGGATGAATCAACACTAAATTAAGAGTACTTGCTTCGCCTGACAAGGACAGCTATCTAGTCCTTTGGATGAGACGAAAAACCGAGGTCCCGTGTATACATTGGAATGCACGTAAGAGATCAATGTGGCAGTTGGAATTCGATATAAGAGTAGGCGATAGTGCCGCTGCCCGGGAAAAATTTCCCTCATCGCACACTGTATGGCGTATGCCCGTCTTCATTTCCAAATAAAACTAACATGAAGGTCCCAAATAAAATTAACTCAAATTCAATGACAATCCTGAGAGCTGCCAAAACATGAATGCTCAGAAATCAACAAAAAACCTATGAAGTAGCCTATACTGTAGGTAACCAATTAACGTAGAGTATAATCAACATTTTCATAATCATTGCATTATATAGAAATTGGTCGATCGGGATTTATAGCTGACTGCTCAACTGTGAATCTGTCCCCTTCTCCAGTTGCTGCAAGTTTAAAGAACTGGCAGCCTTACTGTCAGATCTAGAACAATAATTAATTCTAAATTAAACAATGATGATTCCAAATTTGATCCGACACATAGACTTGCGTACCAAGTCTCTCAAATACAGGCATTTGGCCCACCATTCTAATGTCCGCTTCCACCGAGGTGATATCGCAGACAAGCCATTCTAATAAAATGCATGTATATATAATCTACCGTAGTTACAATGGTAGTGCAGTAAATACTGGGTTATTGGGACTACGTCCTACGATCGACTAATCAGAAGAATGTGTGCGTGTGTGACTGACACGCAATGGGCGTCCTTGACTTGACGTTTCATTCACAAACAATCTAAGTAACCGATTTGTCTCAATAATCCAAAAAACATCGCAGGCTAGCGATGCCATCGAGAGTTGATTATTGTCTGGATAAGTTAATTAATGCCTAATTAATAATTTAGATAACATTTCAGGCCTAAAGAAAGACCTGCAATAGTCAGATTTAGCTCTTGCATAATGTATGTTTAATTAATCGGAAGAATGTATGAGTGACTTGACTTTTCATTTTTTAAAAATCTACTAGGTAACCAATGGACGTAAAATAGTCAGCACATCAAGGGTGCCCGCAGTTAAAGAAGCTGAACCTCTTTGAATTGGGTTGATCAGGTGTGTTATTTCGGTCTAAAAATTAAGGCCAACTGCAGATTTAGTCAAATGTCACGAGATGTAAAAAGAGCCAGTGCTAACCCCAACCCTAGCCCTTCCCTTAACCCTAACGCACAATCTCACAAACAATCACGTGCCTTGGCCCTGTACATCACGCGACCTGGTCAGCCAGCTATGGTGTTACACACTGAGCTACCGCAGCTCCCGATTAGCAGGGCCTGTTTTAACGTGATTACAGGCACTAACTTGCCTCTGGAAAATTCATTCCGTGCTTTGAAAATCAGAAATCCGTACTTTGAAAAAATGCTATGTATACTATTCAAAAAAAGTAGGGGATATTTGATTTTGGGGGCATAATACTAAAATATGCAAATGACTACGAAAAAAGTCACTATAGAACCTAACAGAAGAAACATTTCCAGTTACATGTGACGCCCAAACGCACCAATAGCTACCGCATGGAATGCAGGTGATGCTTGGGATCATCATGGGGGTCCAACCCAAGATTTGCACGACTCTGACTTTGAATGTTACAGTCATTGTGGCATTGAATTCCAGGGTGGAAACATCAGTTTAATTGTTTTAGTGACCAGAAAACAAATTTTGATATGCGTCGGCTTACCCAAAATGAAAGGTTACGTGCCCTTGGCATGCTACAGATCGGCACAACACAGGCGGTTGTGGCGCGGACGATGAATGTTTCTCAGTCTGTCATAAGCAGGCTATGGTCCAGATACCGTGATACACAATCTGTACAGGACAGACCACGCTCAGGTCGACCAAGGGCGACAACTCAAGCCCAGGATCGATTTATCCGTACCTTGGCCTTGAGAAATCGTGTCATTACAGCAAATCAGATCAGCGCTCGTCTTCAAACAGACACTGGTGTGAGAGTGAGTGGCCAGACGATTCGGAATCGACTGCATAGGGGTCACCTTCGCGCCCGACGTCCTCGCGTGATCCCTTGTTTGAGAGATCATCACATTCAGGCAAGACGTCGTTGGTGTAGGGATCGTCAACACTGGGATAATCGACGCTGGAGCAATGTGATGTTTTCAGATGAGTCAAGGTTCACTGTTGATTTTTTGGACAGACGTAGGAGGGTGTGGCGTCGTCGAAACGAGCGCTTCCAAGACGTTAAAGTCATCAGACATGATCGATTTGGGGGTGGTTCTGTTATGGTGTGGGGAGGCATCACTGTTGCTGGAAGAACGACTTTACATGTTGTTGCAGGGCGTGTTACAGGCCAGTACTACCGGGACAACATCTTGGCAGTCCATGTTGTGCCGTTCGCACGACGTCATGGCCGCCGTTTCATCTTCCAGGATGACAATGCAAGATGTCACAGGGCCAGGATCGTTACAGGTTACCTCCAACAACAGAATATCACCACATTACCTTGGCCAGCACTGAGTCCCGACCTCTCCCCCATCGAGCATGTCTGGGACATGCTTGGACAGAGGTTACGTCAACGTCAACAACGTCCTGCCAATGTCCAAGAACTTGCTGCTGCGTTGCAACAGGAATGGGACAATCTGGACCAGAATGACCTTAGACGTCTCATTAGGAGTATGCTACGTCGGATCAATGCTTGTTTGGCAAACAGAGGAGGATTTACCCGTTACTGACTTGGTTGTGATGCTGTGGTAACTTTGCTGTTTGACCCCGGGTATCATTTTACCCTTATAATGGTCAGTCTGTGCCTTACTTAGTCTAACGATCATTTGGAATAAATCGATGAATGTGAACTTCATTTCATTTTGTCATTTGTTTCTTCGTCAGTTTCAATAGGTGACTTTAATAACACTTAAAAATCAAATATCCCCTACTTTTTTTGAATAGTATATATAGCCTTGCAAATCTGGCAAGATTTTATGGGGAAACTTAGTCATTATTACGGTCATTGACCACTTTCGAGTTTCGATTTCTGTTTCAAACGTTTTGCAATGTTGACATATTGCTAAAGCACGAAAATTACATAGCATATCGCCAGGCGCAGGTGACAGTGAAGGTTCGGTTGCCTTTGGATCGAATTGGGATGTTCTTAATTTTGAAATATAGAGAGATTAAATATTCTCTTTTAGTGGATGTATTGAAATTCCCTTGGGTGGCTGCTTAATGCAGATTGTACTGTATTCACAAAAGTCTTATCTTTAACAGCTGGTTATCTCTAACAAGAAATCTTTACACGTTAAAAACCTTAAATAAGATATATTTACATGCTGGTTTTATTCAAGTTACGTTGTAATCACATCTAAGTTAAACATCATGAAAGTCGCTGTATTCGCCGTCCTCATCTGTGCTATGGTTGCTGTAAATGGTAAGTTTTTGTGTACTAGTTTTCTTGGCTCTACTGTTCACAAACAAGCGCGTTTGTTGTTAACACCAAAAGTATGGCAAAAAGAAATGAAATGGGGTTTAACTTCCTACTTTTCTGCTCCGACTGGGGAAATGAAGGCGGGCATATGTCATACAGTGTGTATGGGGCCAATTTTGCCTGGGTAGCGGCACTATGGACCACTCTTGTATCGAATTCCTACTGCCAAGGGACCTTTTACGTGCACGCCAATGTATACTGGACACCTCGGTTTTTCGTCCCATCCGAACGACTAGACAGCTGTCCTTGCCAGGCCCTCCATCACTGACAACGGGAAACCACGCCGGAAAATCTGGATGAACGTTCTCAGTCAATGCTGGGATCGAACATCCGACCTCCAGACTAGCGAGTCATCGCCTTGCACACTTAGCCACTTACCCGATCAGCCATCACCATGTCATGCAGCCGCGTAATGTTTTCTTGAGTGGCCTTTTCTATGGAAAAGAAAGTGGATTCATACCCTAAGGTGAAGTCCATGTCGACATGTATCTGTGTTGGGATTAGTCCTTTCAGTTGAAGTACTTGATGACTGCCCTATAGCCAGTTTTGTTCATTCCCTGTGTTTCAATTGGTAGGTTCACAAGATGGTCTGGTGCGAAGACAATAATAACACTACAGTTGCGCGGTTTATGTCTTTTGCGACCCCTGCGCTCTAATCCTCGCCTTCCTTCCAATAAAATGTCCACTTTCTCGTTCTGAAAATGATCAAATTTGAATCATTCATGATCAAATTATAATTACAGGGGCACCAAGCAAACGATTTCTAGAGAATATCAACTTCAGTAAGTATCACTTGTTTTCTGTGCCATCAAAGATATCCTCCAGCCAATCTAGGCAATGTCGATTGTCCTCGACTTTGCGAAACATAACTAGAACATATTTTTCTCGGGTTGCTTAGATTAATTAGGAATTATTTAAAATCTATTATAATCATTATAATCAACCCCAGGAATATTGAAATAGTAATATCAATAATAAGTTTAGAGGGGTTACAGAGGTTTCGTAGAAATGATCTTGGTATATTTCCCTTAACTTCCATGGCTAATTTTACCCCAATCCTTATACGACGAACACGAGGCGAAGGAATACCATTTGAATATATTATAGTATAACTTTAAAGTATAAAAACGGCTATTCCAATGGCACCAATGTTTGATATTAAGGTTTGGTAAGTTTTAGTTTTAGGCTTCAGGAGACAACGATATAAATTTTGGCCTGAATTTAATAGTTACAAATAGCAAAATAGGGTTGAGTCTCTGGGTGGTTCTTTGCTTTTATTTCAGGCGCGTGATATTATTCCACATTCCAGTTTCATACGTGGCGAGAAACATATCCCTGGGAATTATAAAGTTATGAGTGTGGGTTAACACTTTATTTACTTCAAAACAGCTTCAATTTATTCGTTATTTAGACAAGGTGATAAGATTGCTGTTTATTTACGCGACGTGAAGTCCATAGTGTGGTTCACAATGAAACACAAAATTGAAGTTAAAACAAACGGTGCTAACATTGGACAATCTTTGGTAAAGAATAGGCCGACTGAGCTAATGAAGACGGGCATGCGCCATACAGTGTGCTATGAGGGACATTTTGCCCGGACAGCGGCGTTACGGCCTACTCTTATATCGAATTCCAACTGCCAAGGGATCATTTACGTGCACGCATGTGTACACGAGACCTCGGCTTTTCGTCCTGTCCGAACAACTAGACTGCTGTCCGTCCTGCACCACTGCACATCGCAAATCATGTGTTTTGCCAGCCCTTTTATGACATCAAACTTTCTCGGTCATCCTGGTACTATTTGCAGGTAATTGATTTAATAATTTTTTTTACCTTTGCAGCTGGCTTAAATCTTTGCCCATCTCCCGCTTTGTGTTTAATTAATCCATGTGCGCTATCTACATGTCCCGGTAATCCTGATGCTACCTGCAGGTAGGGCTATAATCTGTATATCAATGGTATGGCTATCAACATAAAAGAATACCCCCAAAGGCACCTTCTTTTAAAATAAAACACACAGTACTTTTTTTATCCGGGTACCGTTGGCATATATGGCTAATTTTATTGTTAGGTGATCCGCTTGAATCGAAGAATATATGAATGTATCCGAATTCCTTCTAATCGAATGGTTAACGCGTGCGCGTTGGATCAGAAGGTTTGTCATTGAGTAAAGTGGCGTGGTTTCGATTCCCCGCTTGTATGTGAAAAGAATTAAAGTCACCCGTTTGACCTCGTGGGTTTTCTCTAGGTCCTCCGGTTTCCTCCCACTACTCAAGACCCCTAAGCGCAAGCGAATTATTGAAATAAAATTGAACCATATGTTAGTCACAAAATGATCTAGTTTGTGTCGAGTGACTTTCATAGGTGGCCACTGCGAGGCTGACAAGGAACTTGTTGGCACGTAAAATAACCCGGAACAGCCTCGCCATTGTACATGAAATGAAATGTGTAATGCTATAGGGGTTATTTTAGTTCTATGAAAGGTGCTAAGTCGGTATTTTGCAAGATTCAACTTTCTTAGACTAACTCACAGAAAGTCCCTGCCATTATCAATTGCTGAAAGTAGGTTACTATCGTAGCACCCGAACGACTAGACTGGCTCTCCGTCGGGAAATTTTGATGACATTTCTCGGCCAATGCAGTGAGCCAGCGTCTTACCCACTTAGTTACCGTGGCTCCTCTCGCATTCCAATTCATATTTAAGGAAATTGAAACGAAATGAAATGGGGATTATTGTCCTACTGTTCGGCTCCGAGTGGGCTAATGAAGACTGGTATGCGCCATACAGTGTGCCACGAGGGAAATTTTGCCCGGATAGCGGCACTATACGGCCTACTCTTATGTCGAATTCCAACTGTTTAAGGATTCTTTGAGGTGCATGCCAATGTGTACACGGGACCTAGGGTTTTCATCTCATCGGAACATCTATACATTTTCCCTTGCCAGGCATATTTAAGGCACTGGTATCTCCCAAATGTTCAGGATATTGACCTTTATGTACAACAATTGTGTTATTCTATTCAACAACTCGACATTAGTTTTAATATACTACATAGTTATGTGCCTTTCATTGCTATTTGTACATTTATACATGCCTCCATTAGGGGTTGATATTGAGGTAATATTACCTACAATAAACAAATGTTTTGAATGTCAAGTGCACAAGTTAATCGCATACAGACGTGGATAATCTTTATTGTTGGCGCTGATGTGTAAGTCAGCAGTCAGGTAGCAACATATTTCCACGATTGTTATTAGAAAGAAAACCTGTGAGCTCCGCATTTAGGATTTTTATTTCGAATATCAACTTGGAAAGCGGTTGACACCTACTACTTAAAATACTTTATAGTGTTGTATTATTTTACTTGTATAAAATGTTCACATCATTTTTATTTCTTTAACTAAATGATATCTTTCTTATTACAGTCAAGGATGTACTTGTTCTGCTGTATGGACTAATGCTTCTGGTAAAACGGTCAACTGTTATCGATACTAAAAACATTTTAAAATATTATATATTTGTGTTTGAAATAAAACTAAATGAGACATTAATCATGAGATATAATTGGTTATGTGTTAGTCAGCTGTTGGGTTAATGAGACTAAGAATTCAACCGTGTCCTCATTTGTCCAGGAGAATGTGTTAGTTGATGATAATCACTAGTCGCCAGGAATGTTCCAGAGGAGTCGGGTAATCACACAGTACATAAATATTCTACCCTTTTCCTTTCATTTAGAAGAACTGAACCGGGTACCCCCTCCCTTCCTCGGTAATATCATGAACATAATTATATATGATACACAGTGAAACATCGACCTGTTCATGTAAATTATCTAAAGTTCGGTGGTAGGCCTACCTTTGTTTCGTTTGATTAGACCTAATACCAATCAAGCACTGCCGTAATGAAAGCAAATTTATGTTACAAATTATGACTGGTCAATAGTCCGATTAACAACTAATGCCTAACTACGTAACAATGCCATTCGGGTTTAAGCAGAGCTCCGCATTGTTTACATAACGTTACGTCATGACTCAAGAAAAACTAATTGCGTGAGAAACGAGGCTGTTTGGAGACAAACAATACTTTCACCGTTTTTAATACCTTAAATTACTGTCAAAAGTTTCTGGGAAGACCCCAGATTAAACGAAAGGCTGTCATACACACACACCCTTAAAAGCTCACGTATCATAAGTCAATGCAGTAATGGCCAGGAGTGATTTCTCGGACATAACAACTCTGCTTTTAAGGTAGAATGTTTAAACTTGATGTAGATGTTCATTAGGTGAATGTCTTGACTGAGTTCAATGATTAAAATACGCCATTAAAGCTAAGCAGAGTTAAGCAATTTCATTGGTCGATGCTTGGGACAAGATAACATTGATTCTAACTGACGGATAGTGATGAAACTTCGTGTATAATTTCACTACCAGGTACTTCAAAACCTTGACTTAGTTTGATCGTGAACATTTTATGCTTAGACTAAGTTTAGATAATCAGTTTGATTGCTCATTACTTTTGGAAAAAAACAAGCCAACTGTGAGGCTGATGTTCCCAGCTGAAATCCCAAAATAAATAGATGACACATACTAATTTATCGCACATTTATTTTTTTCTAAAGTATCAAGTAATCAAACTAATTATCAACAATACACTAAGTTTCATCACTCTCTATCAAATAGAATCAATGTTACCTTGTCCTAAAGCATTGACCAATGAAATTGCTTAGATTATTAGGTTATGTTATGTTCCAAAGTCTTGACAAACCAAATTGCTTATCGCTCCTTAGCCTAAGTAGAAAGTTCACATCATCGAACTTAACCAAGGTAATGATATAATGAATTTATACTCTGAGTTTCATCGCTGTCACTTAATTATAACCAAAGTTATCTTGCCCCAAATCATCAACCAATCAGATTGCTTATCTCTGCTTACCCCAAACAGAAAATGCTCATCTTCGAACTCCATCAATGCATTAACCTAATAAACACCTACGCCAAGTGTAAACATTCTAGCTCAATTAGAATGAGGGTTATTGTGTTCCAAATTCTCGACCAATCAAATTGCTTATCGCTCTGCTTAACCTGAGCAGAAAATGTTCATTATCCCACTTAGTCAAGGTATTGATGTAATAAAACTATGCACCAAATTTCATCACTCTCAGTTAATTAGAACTAAAGTTATCGTGCCCCAAAGCATCAACCAATCAAATTGCTTATCTCCGCTTACCCCAAGCAGAAAATGCTCATTTTATCTTCGAACTCCTGCGAGGCATTGCCCCACTAAATACCTACACCAAGTTTAAAGGGACAATAACACTCTTGCTGGCTTGACAGCTCCAGAAAATAAAAAGTAGCCTTATTCTAAGTACTAGATGTGTTAGTGTCCTATCTGTTGTGTAAATTATCCATTAAATCCTATTTCACTTGTCCAGAGGTTTCAAAAATATTTTTAAATCCAAGTAACATTTGAAAAGCTTTACGGCGGGCTTTTCAAATCATTGAGTTGAATTTTTTAAATTAGGTGTGTTATGATGAAATTTGTATCATCAATTAATTGGAATATTGTAAAATAGAACAATTTGTTGAACAGAATAAAGATTGGGACATATTATTTAGTTACAACAAGAGTGGTATTGAGCCTTTAAACATTCTAGCTCAATTAGAAGGACAGTTATTGTGTCCGAAAATGTGTGACGGACAGACCGACAGACGAATCCATTTTAATAGTCCCCCGTTTTCTTCGAAAATTAATCAATATGTGTCATCTATTTATTTTGGTATTCCGGTGGGGGACATCAGCCTCACGGTTGGTTTGATTGGTTATACAAGTGTACGCGTGATATCGAAAGTCAAATTCTAAGAATTTGTACGAAACCCCAAAATACCGAAAACCGTGCATCGCCATAAAACCTTAGACGAAGGTCAACTCTCTTTAAACAAAAGATTAGCAAACGCAATTAAAATGAACGTATTGAAGTCTATATGACCAGCAATCAATTTCCGTCATATTAACTAAATAAGCGATTGAGGAAATATCGAAAGTTGAATATGCTATTTTGTTTCCGTCACCGGATTGTTTTTCCCTAGTACACGTACACTGTTTTTCCTTAGAATTTACAAAATGAATAATAGTGTACTAATAAATGATTATATGAACGTCATAGCTTGATTATGTTTCCTTTAATTTTATTAAATTGATAGTAGTTTATAAATTAATTCATATTCTTAATTTTGAAATACAATATAAACCACTTAGACAGATTATAGATTTTCTTTTAGTGGATGTATTGAAGTTAATCTATTCACGAAAGTCTTATCTTTAACAGCTGGTTATCTCTATATCTAACAAGAAATGTTTACACGTTAAAAACTTTAAATAAGATATATTTACATGCTGGTCTTATTCAAGTCACGTCGTAATCACATTTTAGTTAAACATCATGAAAGTCGCTGTATTCGCCGTCCTCATCTGTGCTATGGTTGCTGTAAATGGTAAGTCTTTGTGTACTAGTTTTCTTGGCTCTACTAATTACAAAAAGAGACAGCTTTAATAGATAATATGAATAATCTACATACCATATTCAAAATTTAAATTATATCATAACAAAATGATAAATTATGGATAAACCATTTATAACGGAATATGAAACCGATTCTCTTTCAGTAGATATAATATAGAAAGGTCAGAAACAAGTTGGAATATCCACTGAACGAGAATCTGTTTCAGACGAGTTATTAGCCCCGGTGTTAGAAATCGAAATCAGACCAGTTATTTCATAATCTCGCTTAAGAACATAGATGTAACAGACTTTAGCCATTATATTTAGTCATGGCTTAATTTATTTTTTAAAATATTTTCCACTTTCTCGTTCTTAAAATGATGATTCTTGATCCATAAGATTGATAAAATCAATGATCACTCATGATCAAATCTTGATCCATACGATTGATAAGATCAATCGCCATTCATCATCAAATTATAATTACAGGAGCACCAAGCAAACGATTTCTCGAAAATTTCGGACTTGGTAAGTATCACTTGGGCATCTGATATTCAATATTTAAGACAAAAAAAACATTTTACCATTGGTAAACGAATCGTGTAACATAATGCGTTTCAGCACCATTTGTAACAATCTACTCGAAGAACGAGGCTAGACATATTCCACAAGTTATGGCAAACGATGACGCCATATCCTTTTCTGTTCGTTCGTTCGTTTCTAGAGTTTCACGTCCACTTCCACCTAGGGTGATATCGTAGACAAATCCTTTTCTGGAGATCTTGCGCAATAAATACTATCGGTGTAGACTGGAATAACCAGACGCTAGAGATGGCCATTCGATTGAGACTTCTGGCGTATTAAGGCAAACATAATTGATTTAAAATTAAGAGTAAAAACGGAAACGGTCGAGTGTAAAACAGTTTATATAAATTCATATTACATTGTTATATGCGTTGCGACCCATTTGTGTCAATTTTTAGGTCCCAAATAGTAGCGATTCCTTTAAGAACTGTTATAATGAACCCTATGAATAATGCAATGGGAATATCAATAATATGTTTAGAGGTTAAAGGGTTAAAAAGGTTAAGTAGAAATGATCTTGGTACATTTCCTAGAACTACCATATTACCCCAAGTCACGAGACAAACACTCTCCTCTTTCCTCTAACGGGGAACAATGTGTAACGCCCCATTCTGTATTAGCCCAATGTTTAGGCCACAAGGACCTAGGCTACAGGAGACAATGTAAATTAGGGCCTGAATTTAATTGTTACAAATAAGGAAATCTGACGGGGTTAGATAGTCTCTGTGCGGTTCTTTGCTTTAATTTCAGGATCGTCATATTCCACATTCCAGTTTCAGACAGGCGAGAAACATATCACTGTGAATTATTAAGTCATGAGTGTGGGTTAACACACAGGCACTCGAAGTGATTAAGATAGAACTTCTTAATACTGCTTGACTAGTTATTATAGTATTAACCCCGTGCATCACCCGCAATATTGTTTTGACTCGTTGACATTTCGTCGGCTATCATCTCACAATACTCACAAGTTCTAACACTTCCCGTTGTGTTTATTGCCAACAAGACGTTATTTGATCATTATACAGCTTCCAATGTAATTAATTTGGTCATTTTACGGTGTTATTAATTATAAATCAAACATGAAGCACTATCACTCCGCGATTAGCAACTTCGTCGGACCGGAAGTAAAACGAAATGAGGTCAAAAGGAATTCCCTTTTGATTTTTGCTAGTAACAGTCTGTATCACCCAGTCCCTTCATTAACCTATCCATTATACGAAATTTGCTTAGGGACTGGGTGATCAAGACTGCACCAAAACATGACAAATATCCCTGGTATTAACTGCAGAGCAAAGCTATAGGCTTTTGAAATTACAAAAACGGGCCACAATATTGTTGTAACAGGACAGGCGGGTACTGAAAAAGAGCATACTTGTGACAAAAATAAAGCTTTCTGAAAAATTGATGAACCATAACGATCAATGCCCGAAAAATGTTTTATAGCAGAGGCCAAAACAGGTACAGTTATAATAACATCATCTAATAATCTAAGTTCCCAATAGCTTCTTGAATTCTGGGATTTAGAACGGAATTCGTCAGTGTTGTCAAAGCCTAGCTTCTTATCCTGCCCATCACGTTTCTACAAATTTTAGGCTAGACATTTTATTAACAAAAGCTGACTAATTCAAAAGAATTGACCCGACGTGATGAAAGTGCACCGTGAATCAACTGATAAGAATCGTGAACTTTATACTAGAAGTATGATACCACTAGAAAAATGAACCATCTAGTCAAGACAGCTTAGGGATTAATTATCGCCTTTACAGCGGGCGATCTAGAAGGTAGTCTCGAAAGATTCTAAACAACGCTACACGATTATTAATATACCGCCTTTACAACGGGTGATCTAGAAGGTAGTCTCGAAAGATTCTAAACAACGCTACACGATTATTAATATACCGCCTTTACAACGGGTGATCTACAAGGTTCGAGAAGGACACCACTATAATTAAGGTAGTCTCGAAACAGTCTAAACAACGCTATTACCTTGAGCAATTTAGAATTGAGAGAGAGAGTAACGTCCACTCGACAAAACTAAGTCATTTCGCGACTAACACATGGTTCAATTTTACTTCATTACTTCGTTTGCGCGTAGGGGTCTTTAGCAGTGGGAGGAAAAAAGAAAACCCAGCGAAAACCTACGAGGTTGGACAGGCGACCCTACTCCTTGTCGTGTATAAGCGAGGAATCGAACCCACGCCACTTGACTCAATGACAGACCTTAAGATGTAATGCCTACGCGTTAACCATTCGTACACCCAATCCCCCTTAGAATTATGCATCCAAAGACTAATCGAGATGATTATTTACATACATGTATATTGCCTTAGTCAATTATTATAATTATAGGTGGCTTTAAATTATGTACATCGCAAATCATGTGTTTTGTCAGCCCTTGTATGACATCAAGCTGTCCCGGTCATCCTGGTGCTATTTGCAGGTAATTGACTTAATTTTTAACTTTGCAGGTGGCTTAAATAATTGCCCATTTCCCGCGATGTGTTTCATTGATCCATGTATGGTAGCTACATGTGCCGGTAATCCTGATGCTACCTGCAGGTAGGGCTTTAATCTGTATACCAATGAAATGGAGCGGTCAACAAAAAAGACTTGGCCAAATTAACGTTGTATACCAGCAAAGGCACCTTCTTTTAAAACAAAACACACAGAACTTTTTTATCCGAGTATCGCTGAACATATATAGCTAAATTTATTTTAGGTGATACGCTTGGATCGAAGAATATTATGAATGCATCCGATTTCCTTCTAATCGAAAACAATTGTAATACTATTTGGTAATTTAGGCGAATTTAAGTGGACCATTGAACATTATTTATAAATTGATAAATACTTATGTTTAATTTGTTTTCTCCATTGTTTTCAAATCCATAGACAAGGAATGGAGAAATATGATGGCCGAAACAATATCATTATCTTTACAAATTATTAATTCTAAGTTCTTAACCAAAAATAGAGAAAGTATGCTGGTTGTTAAGATACGTTAACGCAGCTATAGTTTAGTAAACATGTTGGTCATTTGCATTTTTCAAGGATAAATTCTCAAAACACGTGATAGGAAAGTTACCATTTCATATTTGGCAAGAGTGACCAATCACATGATTAATTCCATCAAAATTAGCCAATAGAATAATTAATGGGTGTGAATCTGAGAATATATAATTTATATAATGTGCGCTCTAGGGTGGACAGCCATGTAGTTCTCGTAGGGAAAAGATGTAGGAATTTCCATCAGCAGACTCGCCGCATGAGAGCGGGTTAGACTTTATTATGCTTGTAACCTATATGTAGTAGTGCTTAATATAAAATGTAGGAACAAAATAAGGTATTGTTGTTACTGTGTGGAACCGTAAACTGAATGAGTGACAGAATAAATACACAATATTTAAAGTGGAGTCCTAAGAAGAAAATTAGAGGTTGATATTCCCATAAACACATGCTTTGAAATTTCAAATGCACATATTAAGTATACAATAGGGGATACTTGGCGATAATCTTTATTGTGTGCGTCGATGTGTAAGTCAGCAGTCAGGTAGCAACCTATTCGAAATAAAACCTGTGAGCTCCAACCTTAGGATTTTTATTTCGAATACCAACCTGGAAAGCAGTTGTTACCTACTACTTTTAATACTTTTTTTTATAGTAACGAGTGTTGTATAATTATGCTTTTATAAAATGATATTGTTCTTTTTACAGACAAGGCTGTGCTTGCTCTGCTGTATGGACTGATATTTCTGGTAAAACGATCACCTGTTAAAACACCTGTTATACGTCTTGTATCGATAACTAATAACATTTTAAAATATTATATATTTGTGTATGAAATAAAACCAAATGATACATTAATCATAAGATATAATTGGTTATGTGTGTTATTCGGCTACATTCAACCAGTGTAAAGCCTGACGGAGGGCCTGACAAGGACAGCTGTCTAGTCCTTCGGATGAGACGAAAAACCGAGGTCCCGTGTATACATTGGAATACACGTAAAAGATACCTTGGCAGTTGGAATTCGATATAAGAGTAGACGATAGTGCCGCTGTCCGGGCAAAATTTCCCTCATAGCACACTGTATGGCGTATGCCCGTCTTCATTAGCCCAGTATAGGAGCAGAACAGAAGGACGTTAAACCCCATTTCATTTGTAAAGCCTGGATGACCTGGCGCCTGGTACGTTCGGGCATTTTTATGCGCGAACTCTTAGGGGTTTTTTTACTGGCATGCGCACAGGTACTATTTCTTTTTCTTTTAACAAGTACCCAAATCGGGGATTTCGTGCGGAGGTAGTTCGGAGGTAAACAGTCTGTGAAGTACAACATTTGCCACTGTACCTGTGTATCCCTAATTATAAACCGAATGTGTGAAGACAGTTCATACATATCACTCAAAAATTTTTCAGTACAAACTCAGTTGATTCACGCTCGATTTGCTACTAAACAAACCCATCGGTTTATTTTCTCAACAGTGTGACCCGAAGTGACCGCGGATTTATTGACCTTGTATGAACTTATCCATAGCTATACCCTTACACCGAGAGAAATTATCTAGTCTCGGTGAAAAGAACCATGGTCATCTGGTAGAAAATTACTTTTGTATTTTTTGGAACGGAAAACAGTGTTTTTAGAAGCAAACTAACCTGCCGCACATGAGGAAGTCATTATACTAATAATAAAAGGCGAGACCTCTTTTTGCGGCCCAGGCTTATCACTGAGTAGTAAACCGTCCACAAACAATAATATAGGAAGCCTAGTGACAGTGTAGTAAGTGGGCTATAGACTATTGGTTTGAGTCGAGATTACTGGCTTTCAGTTTACTCTGTTTTTGCGATAACCAATTATGTGAGAAATACCATACTGACATTCGGTTTTTAAATGTTGTACGCGAACTAAATGCGTTTGTTAGATACTGACAGAGCAGTCCCGAGTCGAACAATCGCCGCCCGAGCTGTCTTCGTCAGCTAGTTTCAAAATGGCGTACAGCCAGTGGGAAAAGACGACAATAAAATCAGAAATATTTTATTTATTATTGTCGGACTTACGGTATTTATTGATAGGCTACATGTATATCTAAAGAATACTGGCATTCATGTTTGATACGACTCCTCAGTCTCCTGTAACCCTAACCAGTAAAAGGAAGGAGTCGAATCCACATTTGACTATTTGTTGGAAATGTACGTATAATTATGACCAAGAAACTAAAAACCATAGCCAATTCTCCTGTAACCCTAACCAGTAAAAGGAAGGAGTCGAATCCACATTTGACTATTTGTTGGAAATGTACGTATAATTATGACCAAGAAACTAGACCAAGAAACTAAAAACCATAGCCAATATAAAAAATGTTGTTGAAATTTTTTTCCCCTGTATATATATATTATGATATTCGACATGGTATTGAGTATTGGAAGCGAAGTACAGAGTCAGGGTACAAACACTTTTCAATTTCAAAAGGTTAGTGGAAAGGTGCCTGGGTCGATTTTCTCTGTTTTTGCGATAACCAATTATGTGAGAAATACCATACTGACATTCGGTTTTTAAAAGTTGTACGCGAACTAAATGCGTTTGAAATTTTTTTTCCCTGTATATATATATATTATGATATTCGACATGGTATTGAGTATTGGAAGCGAAGTACAGAGTCAGGGTACAAACACTTTTCAATTTCAAAAGGTTAGTGGAAAGGTGCCTGGGTCGATTTTCTCTGTTTTTGCGATAACCAATTATGTGAGAAATACCATACTGACATTCGGTTTTTAAAAGTTGTACGCGAACTAAATGCGTTTGTTACATACTGACAGAGCAGCCCGGAGTCGAACAATCGCCGCCCGAGCTGTCTTCTTCGTCAGCTAGTTTCAAAATGGCGTACAACCAGTGCCAGTGGGAAAAGACGACAATAAAATCAGAAATATGTTATGTATTATTGTCGGACTTACGGTATTTATAGATAGGCTACATGTATATCTAAAGAATACTGGCATTCATGTTTGATACGACATTTCAGTCTCCTGTAACCCTAACCAGTAAAAGGAAGGAGTCGAATCCACATTTTACTATTTGTTGGAAATGTACGTATAATTATGACCAAGAAACTAAAAACCATAGCCAATATAAAAAATGTTGTTGAAATTTTTTCCCCTATATATATATATATTATGATATTCGACATGGTATTGAGTATTGGAAACGAAGTACAGAGTCAGGGTACAAACACTTTTCAATTTCAAAAGGTTAGTGGAAAGGTGCCTGGGTCGATTTTCAATCATGTCGTGTTCATCACTATGAAGGGGGGGGGGATTTTTTATCAACATTTTTTTACATTGATTTGTAGTTTCTTGGTTATGTCGTACATTAATTCCAACAAATATATGTATATTCGAGGTTTTATGACACTTGTGGCAGTGGTCGAATCAAACATTCCTTTACGCCATAACCATACCTTAGCCCTCTGGAAGCTGAATATGTATTTAATGTCCGTTTCGCGTTAAATACCATTTCTAATATTGTACATAAGTGAAGAAATTTTTTCTGCACCAGTTCTGTACAAACATTGCTCCCTTTTAAATGGAATGACCCCTTACCTCACCTTCCAACATTTCCTACTACTGGCCCCTTCGGAACACCTGATACAGTTCCACATTCACCCTTGTGGAGAATTGCGTGTTTCGCACATTTTGCCTCACTGCTTTAACGACTTACCAGGTCACCCTCGCACTTGTGGGACCCAGCCGTTACGTGTCCTTTTAGTTGCCCTCCATTTTGTTTCACATATTCGGTTTTTGATGGATTTCTCCGATAACATTAATTTCACTAGTGCACCGATACTATGGACTGTATGTGGTACATAATTTAGTTACACCAATTCCTTCACTAACTTCGCTAACCAATAAAATCCCCTGCTCGCCGTCGGCACTAATAAGTTCACTGCTCGGTGCTTCAGATGTGTACCATCTGATTACTTTTACAATGTTCCATACACCATCTGTTGGCTACTTTATATTTTGAATGCTTTGTTACTGTCTGTTGTACTTCTATACTATTGCCTGTATATCATACTCATATACCACAATAAAACTGTTTCTATGATCATCTGCCTTCTTTTTTCCCCCGCTCACTACTGACCCCGTTTACAGTATACCTTATAACTTCATACCGCCCTGTGTTGTGCAAACCATCCCTATTACCCCCTTCTTTATGCACATGTTCCTATATCTACCCAGTGTCCTCTCTGTGCTGTCCAGCACGCAACAGTCATCATTTTCCACCTGATTCTCACCGTGTCTTACAAAGCGACCATTTCGGCAAGCGCTCACGTACCAAATGAGTTATAATTGACTTGTCATCCATGTGGACGAACGTTTGCGGGATCTGTGGCATAATTGTATGCCTAGTGCCTACTCTATCCAGTCAATCTGGACAGCTTTCTCTTGCATCGCAAGTACCCCGCAAATTTAACTCAATCACAGTGTCCACTTGCACCAACATGAGGTTTGGCGAAAATTTATCTGATTACCGCTGCAGCATGCCATAAACCACCCTTCCTTCATTCCCGGTAACGCACAACCCAATTTACTTGCGCTAGCTCTTTGCATAAAATTACCAACTCCCGGTGTCTACGTGACATAACATCTATTCCTCATCGCAATGCATTTCTTGGGTTGGGGTGCAGTCATGGGCGTCACACATGAGGGGGCCCGGATGGGTCTCCCCCCCCCCTTATTTTCCAGATGTGGTGGGGGCGAAATATACTTGGTCTCCCCTTATATTTATTTTAACAGATATTATGATTATTTAACATTCTATCTGTATAAAACTTGTACATATCCCAATATGTCAGACAGCACCAAAATTATTTCCATTTTGTGACAATTTCTGAAGAACCTCTACAACTGACCCCCTCCCTTTGCGAATGAGGGCCCTCCAAATAAAGCCACCTCCACCATAATAAACCTTAAAACGCCCCTGACTATCACAGTAATTACTAAACTGTTGTGTACAATTTTTATATTAACATATGTAACAGTCATTAAAAAACGTCTGAATACGGCACCCCCTGACTTAAACATGATACACATTGTATAGACCTATTGCACGTTCATGGCATGTCAAAGGTTAATCGGGGATAGATGATAAAAACACCAATCGAAGCGACTATAAATCAAAACACGGTTGATTCAACACGACTTCAATGGTTATTCAATACGTCGTTAACCCCGAATAACCTTTCACACGTCCAATCACAATATCGTGCAATAGGTGTATTAATGTGATTTTTAGGTTTAACCCCGCAAACAATGCCAAAATAGTGTTTTCACTGCTTACAGAAAACTGAAATTTAAAAAAAAAATTTTTTATGAGGGTGACCCTCCCACACACTCCCTATCGAGCTGCCGCTCGGTCTGCGCAGCCTCATGCCTGGCACATACTGTCAACATTGTATATTTTTCCGTTTCCGCCCTTCCCCCCCACAATATATATTTCACGGCTACGTTGCGACGGTACCAGCATACCCAGTTGTTGACACCCATTACATCACTCCTGTCTAACAAATCCTAAAGCTGTGGTGTTACGGTGGCGGCATAGTATTTCACCGTAACACCACAGCCACTCTAACCATTCATAATACATCTAACTATCCCTTTACAGCACTTCACTCCCTACACATTTCCCCTCGTCCTACTTTCCCAAACGTCAACAACACATCTCATACATCCAGTTCGCTGATTAACCCTTGTACCACGTCTACTGGATTAATGAATCTAAATATTAAAGCTTGTCAGGGATGTTCCAGTACGGTCGGTTAGTCATACAGCACATAAATATTCTACCCACTCGCTTTCATTTAGATAAA